GACTTAGTGCTTCCAAGTCATGACTTGAAGTCACAGAGGCCATTTCTGCCTCCAGGTCACGACCTCAACTTCTCACGTTGCGACCTCAAGTCACATAATGCTTCTGCACACTATTCACATTTCACTGAAATCTTTGCCAACTTTAAAAATTCATAACTAATTGTAGAAAAATTGAAATTGAGTGATTCAAAGTTCTATGGAAAGCTCTTTGGATAAAATTTTGAGGAAAAATAGTTTCTAGACTGATTGCCTTGAAATTTGAGCCCAATTTTCTTTGAAAAAGTTATTGTTCATTTGGTCATTTTCGGATTTTTACTTTATTTTTGCCTAAGTTTGGAAAGGCATAACTTTCTACTCAGTTATCGGAATCAGGGAAACTACCCCTCATTTTAAAGAGAAAAATAAGATCTCTTTGCTTGCCAAATTTCAAAACTAACTCACTCGTTTACTCAAATGGTCATTGGTTAAACTTTAATCCCTTTTAGTTGACTTTTTACCCCCTTGGAAGGGTAACTTAACTGAATTGACCATTTACCATCATAACATACCTTCATTAGCTATATTAGCTATTTCTAATCATACTTGTATACTTCTAATCTTAGTCATACTACTGGAAACTTAAAGGGTCCATGCATTGAGTTAGTGTCTTTTTTAGGGTAAAAATGTCATAATTAGTTATTAATTGTATTCAATTAATTTCTAGGACAATTGATGCCTAAAATTGTTGCTTTTCAGTGTAGGATACCTGAGATTGGAGCCAAGGTTGAAGACTCAAGGCACATAAAGCAAAGAGGAGCCTCTGTCATGGTTCGCCGCAGTGAACCCCTCATATTAGCACATTCAGACCCGACCATTTCGGGAAAAATTGACTTGCCCACTTCCATGAACCGACCCAAACACGTCACATTCACGTTAGAAACTCTATTTTCGGTAGGAATGAGGTAAACACGGATATTGAGCCACCATCCACGTTTTTCTCTTCATCTTCTCTCATCTCTCCCACCAGAACCCTAATCCCTCACCTTCCACTGTCATTTTGATCCATGGGCAACACTGAGTCAATTTCAATGGAGATGTTTTTGCACATCATGAGTGGCTAGGCTTCCTCCAGCTCTTGAAGATGGATGATTGGCATGAGTTCTAAGAGCTTAAAAGGGGAGTTTCAGTTTCATCTTAGTTTTAGCTATGTATTTATGAATTCCTAGGTCTTGGATTTGTAAATTCTTAGTGAAAGATTTTGATTGATATGTAATCATTAGTTGATGATTCACATTTGTAGTTGAATTGGTTAATGTTGGATTTCATGCTTCAATATATGTAGTTACATATATGTTCTTTGTAGCTTTATTGATTCTCTTCATCTTGCATGGTCATGTTTTGATGATGAGTTGATTTTCTGTTGCATTGAACCATTTGCATTAATCATTCTTAATTACACATTAGGGAAGCTTAACAATATTTTCATTAATGAGTTCATTAATGTAAGCATTGGACTCAATGAGTTATTGAGGTTGTTATCAAGAAAACCTAATGAATTTATAAAACTCCACATCTTAAGAGAACTATGATTGCCAAGAATCCATTTTCAAGAGGTTTTACCAATTGATTCAGCACTTGATTTCCATCCTTTTCATCTTAATCTCCAAAAAAATCCAAAAATACATTTACATTCTTTTGCATTTTATCTTAATTGCGAGTTTCAATGAAAACCCCTAACCTTTTCTAGCTCAATTTGCATTACCATGGCATTTAGTTAATCTAGGATCATAATTTCGACTCCACAAGTGAAACGACCCGAGGTTGTGCCTATAGTACAATCCTTGGATAAATTTTGAAATTAGCCCCAAGGTGTAAGCAAAGACAAGTCAAGGCGATTTTCACACTATGTACATCATAAGTCTAATACCAGTCGTGACCAGCTCACGAAAAAGTAGCCCATACAAAGGTCTCTATGGCCTCAACCATCTCCAGGAAAGTACATCTGGGTAGGCGATCACATATCTCATTAACTCCTTCATCCCATTTCCATATCTTGGGGATTACGTGATATAGGGCTAGGATCCAGTCATTATCCCCCAAGGTACGATCCTCCCTAGTCACCTAATAATAGAGGCTCTTAATGTCCTCTAAGAACCTTAAGTATACATCAGCTTCTTGGTGCTCAAACGGCTTAATGAAATAGCTTCTAAACTGGAACTCCCGAACTAGTTGAGCAAGGCACTGGAACTCTTTCTTAATTTTAGGTATAGGGATCTGACTCGGACCTACTCCATCATCACTAGGTATCTTAACGATTTCTGGTACATCATTAGAGACAACTGCGGCTATGTCTCTCTCTGGAGCCTTCCCCTTGAAACTGAAGTAATCTACATGGATAGTTGGGAATTTGGTGCTAAGCTCTCCGTACTTCTTAATATCCTCGTACCACTATGTCTCGTCGTACCACCATGGATATGGCTCACCGAGCATGACCTTGCTAATGGTCTCTCCTGATTTTCCACTTCCACTATCACAGACAGCCATCACCTAAACTCTCTGTAATCCTAATGACCAAATAAACTTATTAATGAACAGTGTAAAATGTTTTCCTCAAAATTCAGAGCATAAAAATTTTAAATTTAAAAAATTTGTTCTGAGTGCCAGAACTATTTGCTCTAATATAAAAAATGTAACACCTTACGTTTATACCAAATAACTTATCTTGTGCAAGCATTTGGAATCACTTTTGAGGACTAAAGTTATGAAAAATCACATTTGTAACTTCATATGACCCTTAAGTATGAGGAAAGGCTTAAAAAATTGAAATTTTTTAATTTTCCCAGTTCAGATCACAACTTAGTGCTTCTAAGTCACGACTTGAAGTCACAGAGGCCATTGCTGCCTCCAGGTCGCAACCTCAACTTCTCAGGTTGCGACCTCAAGTCACAGAATGCTTCTACGTACTATTCATATTTCACTGAAATCTTTGCCAACTTTAAAAATTCATAACTAATTGTAGAAAAATCAAAATTGAGTGATTCAAAGTTCTAAAATAGTTTCTGGACTGATTGCCTTGAAATTTGAGCCCAATTTTCTTTGAAAAAGTTATTGTTCATTTGGTCATTTTCAGATTTTCACTTTATTTTTTCCTAAATTTGGAAAGGCATAATTTTATGCTCGGTTATCGGAATCAAGCAAACTACCCCTCATTTTAAAGAGGAAAATAAGATCTCTTTGCTTGCCAAATTTCAAAACCTAACTCACTCGTTTACTGAAATGGTCATTGGTCAAACTTTAATCCCTTTCAGTTGACTTTTTACCCCCTTGGAAGGGTAACTTAACTTAATTGACCATTTACCATCATAACATACTTTCATTAGCTATATTAGCTATTTCTAATTATACTTGTATACTTTTAACCTTAGTCATACTATTGGAAACTTAAAGCATGCTTCTGACATGGTAGGTTACAGGCTACTAAACAACCATTGGATAACCGTTGAGTTTCGTAATTTGTAATAATACTTCAATCTAATAAGTTTTTATTGCAGAGAAAAGCTTCAGGAGCATAACTGATCAAATGAAAAGAAAATGAACATTTAGATTGGAAGTGGATTTAATCAGTTTCTAAGTGTATTGAACAAGAATTGGACATCCTTGATCAAAGTAATGATCGATGACTGATTGATCGATTAAGTTATCGATTATTCAAAGTGAGAGCTTTTAAAACAGATAACTATATTTATCGATCAAGTGATGGATTAACCATTGATCGATAAAGTGATCAAAAAGTGAAAAGGATGAGTTCAGAAAAACATGTAAAGAACAATCTAGAGTTCACTGTCTATCTTGAATTCCTTAGAATAGAGAATTAGGATAATCAAGAAGGCTGAGAAAAGCTCGAAGAGAAATAATCAACATATTTTGAGAGTCACTGTAACTAGTTGATGTTTAACTGAAATAAGTGAAATGATCGATCAGGTGATCAAAAAATATTTGATCAATCATGTTATCGATAAAGCTGAGTGAAGTAAAAATAGATTTTTAACGAGTAATGATCGAGTATTATATATCGATAAAAGAAAGATAGATAATTTGATCGATAAAGATGTTTAACAAAGATTTTCTCAAAGTGCATAAAACATATGATGATCAATTAAGTGATCGATAAAGGATTGATCAATCAAGTTGTCGATAAAGATAGTGGAAAGACTTAGTTTTGATATGCTAGGAAAATGTTTGATCGATCACGTTATGTGAAAACAGAGCACTCAGAAGTTTGGGTGATCGATCATTTTATCGATAAACTACTAATCGATCAAGTGATCGATAAAAAGCTTTGTCAGCATACTTGAACAAAACAATAAACTGGTAAGTTATGATGCAATGACAGAACAAGTTATCGAAAAACCATTGATCGATAATGTGATCGATAAATTGTGATTAAGACAGAATACAAAGTGAGTAGAGAGAGCTTTACCATTTATCTGTCTTCTTATTGATGACTTATTTATCGATCATGTGATCGATAAATACTTACCAGATTTGTGTTCCATTATCTGACAGTTATTCGATTATTAGATTATCGATCAATAGATCGATAATTTTCTGCAGGCTTCTATACACAACTGTGTTAACAATGATCGATCAATTGATCGATCAACATATTATCTATCAAGTTATCAATTAATATTTTTGCCAAGTTACTTGTTTGCACAGGAAAGTTATCTATAAAGTGATCGATAAACCCTTGATCGATCAACTTACTAAAACACATATTCCTAAATTTGTTATCATCAAAACCTTAAATCTAACATTCTCCCCCTTTTTGATGATGACAAAACATATATGAAGAGTTACTCAAATATCAACAAATAACAAAGTAAATCAGATCAAAGAAACAATAAAGACTCACGATAGATTAGACTAAAAAAAACTTAACTAATAATATTGAAACATTAGAGTTCAGATTACATAAAAACAACATAAAAACATAAAAACATAGTAAAATAAGAACTAAACTAAACAGATTCCTTCTCCTCCTTTTTGTCAGCATCAGAAGGTGGGGAAGGCAAGGTGATTGAAATGGGAAGAGGGGGAAGCTGAGCAAAAGGAGAGACAGTGATAGAGGGAGTAGATGGAGGGATTGTGATAAGAGCTAATGTAGCAGGAGTAGGAGGAGGAGGTGGGGTGGAAGGCATAGATGGTGAAGTAGAAATAGGAGAAGTGGATATAGGTGGTGCAGGCTCATAGTGAGGAGGAGATGGTGGATGAGAAAGTAGGTCTTCAAAACCGAAGGAGGTGCTGGGAACGGAGAAATTGTTGCAGAGAGAGGCTACCATCCCTTTTAAATCTCGGATCTCCCTGTCAATATAGTCAAACCTCTGAGAAACTTCTTTTCCAGAACTACCATGGCTTGACGATAAAGATCAAGAATTTTAGAAATGCCATCAAATTTTCTGTTTGAGACTTCCCCATAGTCTTTAGCTGTCAAATACACTCTCTTTTCAAATTCTTGAAGTTCTTCCTGGAACATTTCCCTGATCGATTTTTCCAAAAATGAGGGTCCAGAGGTATGAGAGGGAGCTACAGTGGATTCTGTCTCATCCTGGGATCTTAAGGAGCTAGCAGCAGGTTGTTTCCCTTTATCTTTCTAAGCTAGCTTCTGTGAAGGTCTAAAGGGCACATAGATTTTCATTTTGTTCAGTTGATTTATCCTAAAAGAGGGTACCTTCAATTTGATCTCACCAGGTTCCATTGGCCTAAAATCGTTCACTTGAAGCAGATAGGTAGCTAGATGAGGATAAGGGATAGGAGTTGACTTGGATTTGTTGAGCACAAAGTCTTTCATTTCATTATAGATCAGAGCTCCTATATTTAACTGTTCTCTACTAATTATTCTTGCCAGCAGAAGGTAGTCATCTTGATTGAGGTGGGAGAAGCTTCCAGATTTATTGACCATGCTTCTTGAATAGATGTAGTGAATTATTCTATAATAATCACACATCTGTTTGGGGGGAAAATTGAGCTCACCAGGAAAATTGTAAGTCTTGATATCATTCATTTCGCCTCCCCTTACATGATCTCCTATCCCTAGTAATCCATTCAGCTTAGTAGGAGTAATAGTGATTGTTCTGCCTTTGAGGTGTGTTTTGAGATAATCACCCACGAGATTATCCTCCTCATCATATTCTTCACAGGACTCCATATTGCAATAGAATCATTTGACTACTTCAGGGCAATATTCTCCTCCAATACTTAACTAGTTTGAATAATATTTCAGTGGGTCACTCAAATCCAAATTAATTTTCTCATTTTTCTTTAGGCCTTAAATATCAACTGAAACCATAGGACAGAACTTACGATTTGCATAGTCTGCCTTAAACTTAGCCAAGTTCACATCCTTATCTAGATTCCCAATTAGTAACTCAGAAAAATCAGATGTGGTACCTTGGTAGGAATTTGGCATGACACACCTTCGCTTGCTTTCTGTTTCTTCTATCTTGGTTGCTTGGGGATAAGAACTCGTAATGCAACCTCCATAGCTTTCTGAACTGAAGTTTCATCATCAGTTTCTGTTTCAGATTCCTCAGTAACCATTGGTAGCTTGGATTTCAACTTCGATCGTGGAGATTTTCTCTAAGGAGTGATTGCTCTTTGGTCTGACTTTCATGAATCTTTAATACTCCTATTTTCTTAGAAGGATCTTCCCTCACTTTTGTTCTGTATCTTTTCTTTATAGTCGAGGGAGTAGTAGCTCTAGACTGGGTTTGTTTCTCTGTGCTTTCCTCTTTGTCAATATTCGGTTGCTTGACTCCTGCCATTTTCTCGTTACCCAAAGAAATTCTGAAGAATGTTCGGTGAGAAGAGTGTTTGATGGATGCGGTGGAGAACAAAGATACTTTAAGAGTGATTTTGAGTGGAAAGGGGACAGCAATTTAATAGAATAGTGATTTTTGGACCGTTGCGTTGGAACAGGGGAACGGTTTTATCAAGTTAGGGCTTCAACAACTGACAGGGATTTTCAAAAAATAAACGTTATAAACACTAAAATTATCGATCAATGAGTGATCGATCATGTGTTCGATAAATATGAAGAACACACAAGAACACTGAATGTGACACCTCATGTTTAAATCAATTAACTTTTCTTGCGGAAGCATTTGGAATCACTTTTGAAGGCTACAATTGATGAAAAATCAAGTTTGAAAATTTTCATTTACGGGTTACTATTCATTGTCACCTTAAAATGTGACAAACTTCGAAAATTCATAACTAATTGTAGAAAAATTGAAATTGAGTGATTCCAAGTTCTACAGAAAGCTCTTTGGATAAAATTTTGAGGAAAAATAGTTTCTGAACTGATTGCCTTGAAATTCGAGCTCAATTTCCTTTGAAAAAGTTACTGTTCATTTGGTCATTTTCGGATTTTACTGTATTTTTGCCTAACTTTGGAAAGGCATAACTTTCTGCTCGGTTATCTGAATCGGGCAAACTACCCCTCATTTTAAATAGAAACATCAGATCTCTTTGCTTGCCAAATCTTATGACCTAACTAACTCGTTGATAGGTCAAACTGGAGCTACAAACTCACTGCTCCAGGACTTACGTTTTATCCCTTAACATCTCTTTAATTCTTTTTATTTCTTTGGCATACATAACATGGCCTTACTCTTTCCCGTTCATGCTCATACACTTTCATTCATGCCATAAATATTATAACCAAATACATGGCATCATTGGCATCCATAACATAATTCACAAAATAGTAGAATTATACATTTATTAACAGTCTCATCCATTAACAAGAATAATTCTCCGCTTACTTCTCCTTGCTTCTCATGCCATTATTGCCCGTCATTGATTGACCTAAATGGTTGGTTAGGGAGGGGTGAGATTCGGGAGAATCTCAGTAGCAAACACTACCCATAAGCATGCAAGACATAATGCACATGCATGACATGTTATAACATTAACACATGAATGCCATGGAAAGTAAGCTAAAGCATTTCATGCTTCCATAACATATTGCCAAGGCAAAACATAACATAAACTTGCAAACATAACTTTGCAAACATTTCATCATAGCTTAGTCACATCATGGCAACACAATCACATCATGCAAGCATACATATCAAGCACACAGTATAGGTAAGTTCACTACCTTGTAACATGGCTTTCCCCTTGCTTTTCCTTTGGTTTCCTTGCCTTTCCAACCATGTGGACATTCCGTCAACATCACCAAACATCCTCTTGGATGTTCCAAAGGTCCTAAACATAGTCACATTGATCATACAAACCATTAGGACCACTAGATTACATAAAGTTCAAGACTAGCTTTCTTGAACCTCAACCCTTTCTCTTAGTCTTAGGGTTTTCTTTCCAACTTTTCTAACATAAATCTTATCATTTCCCATCCTTAAGATCCATTTCTTGTCAATTAGGACCACTTTAGATGGCCTTAGATTCAAGAATACCAAATCTGGAAATTTTGCTTCGCGGGTACTGTTCACGCAGAATTTCCAGAATTTTTGCTCAACTTTGAAAATTCATAATTAATTCTAGAAAACTCCAAATTGAGTGCTTCCAAGTCTCACTGAAAGATCCTTAAGTTAAATTTAAATGAAAAATAGTTTCAGGAACCAGTTCTACGCCGAACAGTACCGGAACTGTACGGAACTCGAAACTCTTCCAAAAGTTCAACACTGTTTCCAGATTTCAAACCCTAACTTTGAAAAATCACCATAAATCGTACACATATCCAAATGAAGTGTTCTACCTATGGATTTAAAGCTCACAGAGTGTACTTTAAGCATGAAAAATTTCAGAATCAGATACGCACAGTAACTAATCCGAAATAGGCATAAAATCAGGTGCTATAACCACCACATACCGTGTTTTAGAGTTTGATCTGGCTTGGAACCACTTGGCCTTTCTTTCTCCCTCTTCTTTCTCTCTCTAGAAACCATTTTGCAAGAGCTTCCCCATGGATTCCTTATGCTTGGACGAAATGGTAGGGAGGGGAGGGGGTATTTATAGAAAAACAGACCGAATCTGGACCGTTGATCTTAAAAATACGTGGCTCGATCTGGACCGTCCATTTTCTCTTTTGATCTTACGGTGACAAGTGTCCTATGACATCATGCTTACCTCATCATGATGACATCATGCTTACATCATCAAGCCACATGTCTTTAATCCGACCGCACACGTGCCTTGCATCCGACCGTACACGTGTCTTCCATCTAGCCGTACACGTAATATTTTCTTTTTCTCATCTAACCGTACACTTGTCACTTTATGTCCTTTCATCATTTATGGCATTAAAATAGGGAGAAAATAAATGGAAATTCGTGCAAAAATATCTCCTTAATTATTTCTCCACCTATCAAGCCAATCTTGCACCATATCAGATACTTTTCGGGTCCTGACTTACCCTGTACCACCAGGACATGTTCTGACACTATTTTCTCATCTTAATTAAGTACATATATGGTGCCACCTTAGAGGAGCATAGATAAAAATAATTAGCTCTAATGACAGGCTACTTAACCTTACTGAGTCATGCAGTAGAGATTTCGCTATAATGGGTAGACAAAAGATTGTCTAAAATATTCCCATACTGCGTTCTGATTTTTATGCTGTCCATAAATATCTTCTAGTGACTCAGCATGATGACTCGTAGGTGTCATGATTACGCTTGATGACTCAGCATGATGACTCGTCGGTGTCATGATTACGCTTGATGACTCAGCATGCTGACTCAGCATCGTCATGATGGCTTTTAGATATTTTCTTTGGTTTTGTCTCCTATTTAGGGGACAAAATTATTTAATATTTGACTGGAGCATTTTATTCAGTCCAGAGCTCCAAAAATTCATCCAAAAATATCATAAAATTCCTCCTATTCTAGAGAAAATCTGTGAATTTTCTCAGGTCATAACTCAACCTATAGCCCCACTTAAAAATCATTCTTTAAAATGCCTTTTTTGGGCACAACTGGCTTTTAAGTATTCTTAAAGCCATTTTGCTTGTCTTCTAGGGATGAGACTAATTTTATAATTTTCTACAGTCTCTTAGATCATACATCCCCATTTTACCATAATTTTCTGAGGTTTCCTTATGACTCAAACAATTAAATCTACCTCTACATCTTAAATTGAGCCATAAACTTCTAAATTCCTTTTAAGTTACCTCAGGGGTATTTTCATCATCTCTCTTCACAAAAGAGTCTTAGAATATTATTTCCCATTTTCTGGGATTTTCTTAGAATTTTCTAAGTACTTTCCAGTTTTACCCCTGATGGCCGTAACTTTCTGAATTTACGGTTTTACCCCTGCTT